TACTGATTATGAGTCACAACACCTACACCCATTAACGTTGTAGTGGCCATATACTAATTAGAGGTCACAGTAGACATACTGATTATGATTATGGAGCTTCAATACTATTTATAGTTTAGGCCAGATATAAATATTGAAACCACTTTAGTTTAATCTACAAATTACAAATTCCATCTGGATTTCTGGAGCTATGCCAAATGGGCCCTTAGCTTAAAAAAACAAAGCTAAGGACAATTATTTGGAGATATTGCTCTACGATCAATTAAGTTGTCCGCAAATCAAATCACCCTAAAAACGACTATAACGCATCATTGGGTTAGATCATTGGTATAATTTTTTTTTTGCGATAATGACTTAATGAGCCATTAAATTTGCTGATGTTCACACTGTGTTTTCTTTCTGAATTTAGAAGCGAACGTTGTCCTGGACGTTCCATTGGCTAAATCCTTTTAGACTCGATCAAGGACAATTCTATATCTGTGGACCTAGGAGTTGGTTGGAAGCACGTATACGAGCAGACAGTCTTGCACATTGCAATGCTAGCTAACATATATTTTTGGCTCTGTGTTTTTCCAATAGCACTGCATCTACTCGTTAGGGAAAAAATGTTTTAGCCCTTCTAAGTTTTGAGATATCAGCATTGGATATCAAGTCAATCTTGATCGAACTAATTTGATGGACGAGAGAGTTTTGTTTGTAATGCTTTGTTAAAAAAACGGTAGAAATGGGATAGGAGAGGCTTGAGTGGCTTGCTGCTCGTAAATGATCCAGGTTCGAATCCTCACGGTACACTCTTGCTAGAGTTGGTGGGCAACCTGGCCAAGGGGACCTTAGTGATGCCAGAAAATTAAGAATAGGCTCCACACATCTTCTCTGATTGCTGTGTTCTGCATGAGTTTGAACCAAAACCTAAGCTTGCATCGCTTCAGGTTGTTTAGCACTATTTGAATTTGACATCTCGTATTGCAGTATAGAGGTCATGCCTAAACACTCTCTCTCTTATTTAAGCATCACTCAAGACACACATTGTGAAGGGTTTTGGATCCCCGGAGAATGACGCGGAGGCTAATTTAGTCTTTGACCCCCAGAGAATGATACAAATAAAATTCCACATAAAATAAATCTTCAATTCAGTTGAACTCGAACAAGTATTGGAACTAGGGCACCGACGCGCCCACAACTTTTATCCGACTTCATACCTTTTAATTATATGCATTTCTTTGTGATGTTCATTTCCTCCCCTCATGAAATGGCTGCATTGATAGTTTGGTCCAGGCTTGTTGCATTGGGCCGAAGCCGAATAAAAGAACATACTTGGGCCAAGTTTGGGGTTGTCGGTTAGTTGCTTTCCAGATTTCCCCCATGCGAGAGATTCGAGAGAAAGAGAGAGCGTTCTCAATTGGTTCCAAAAAGAAGCAAAAAAATAACTCCCAAGAACAGAGAAAAAGAGCAGGACAGACTGTGCTTTACGAGCAGCAGCAGCAGCTGGGAGTACTCTTGAACCAACCCAACCCCTTTTCAATTTTCCTGCTACCGATCCCATCTATAGCTAGGCAGCCAGGCCAGGTAGGCAGGAGCTTTCTCCATCAAAAATTGGATCACCAGCCACGAGCCAACCGCGCAACCACCACGAGACCCACGTGACGACACGTCGCTCCGCGCGCAACCACCGCAACCAGCCGGCGGAACGCGCGGCTGTTGCTGCTGCTGCTCCTGCCACTGGGCGCTGCCACTAGCAAGCATAGTGAGTAGTGACCAGCCAGCTCCCAACGATAAACAACCAAGCACGGCAGGCAGGCCATCGATGGTAATTAGGCCGCCGGCCGCTCTCTCGCACCGGTCTAATCACTCGATTAGGTGCGTGTACTTGCGTGCGTACGTCCTCGAGAGGGCGAGATCAGGCGCAAGGAACACGTGGGGCAATGGAGTGGAACAGCCGGGCGGGCACGCAGACGCAGCCCGGCCGACCGCTGGGACAGGGACGGGGACGCCGGGGCGGGGTCATGGCGACGTGTCGATTGTCCAGTTGCCCCACGGGGTCCACTTGCGCGGACGCTGAGTGACGCGGTGACGCCGGGTCGCCGGCGCGGCCGAGCCGTGCACCGAACCGAACCGAAGCTTGCGAGCGGCTGCGCCCGGGACCCGGGGGTGACCGGCCTGCCCGCCATTATAGAAAAGGTCCAGGGGCGGACGGACCAACGGAGGACTCTGCTCGGCGCAGCGAATCAGGGTCGAGCGGTCCGGCCGCCGAACAGGTGCGTGCGTTCGGGTCTTCTTCGATGCAATCGTTGTACGTGGGCGTTGCGTCTGCCGGGACGTAAGGGATAGTCTGTGGAGTGTGGAGCGAGGACTTGTGTTTGTCTAACGCATGTGCCGACTTGTAGAGATCAGAGCTTGCTAATCCAAATCCGACTTTTATACCAGGCAAGCAACGTGTTAGGTGTATACAACGTGACATAGCGAGTGACAACAGAGGCTGCTTAGCTAAGGACGCCATGTGTGCAGTATTTACGGACATAGGTGCTGTCATGCTTATCTATTAGTGGTGGTAGTCTTCTAATTGACCACATGAGGTTTTGCAAGGATACAGTCATGTTGCCATTGTTAGCACGTCTTATAAGTTATATATGCTCATCCTTTCACACAAAAAAAAGTTATATATGCTCATCGAAAAGGCATTGCTGGGAGTTCTTTTTATAAAGAAAAAAAAAGCATTGTTGGGAGAGGATAACTGAGCTTTGGACAAACATCCTGTTTTAACAGCATACTAAACTTAACTACGGGTTCATCATTATCCTCTGTGATTCCAATTTCTTCACTCGCTTACGTGCGTGACGTACTGAAAGCGAGTGTCAACGGCTGTTCCCACTGCCATTAACCCATCTAGAAAAATCTCGGCAACCGCGTGCCTATCTAGTCGATGCAGAAGATCCACGCAGCGGGTGCCACTTCAGCCGAGTAGCCGACGGAAGCTCATAGACAATGGGTTATTTTAATTGACCCCTGGAGGTGACCTGCCTGTTGGAACCTTCCATGCACGCACTTGCGGTCCCATCGCGTGGTCTGTGTCTGACTTGCTTCCGGGTCTGTTCGGTTTGTTTTGGACTTGGACTTGGACTTGATGGAACCGTCTGCCTGCCTGGCCAGAATATAGGGCGAGGGCGAAGACCACTTCAGGCTTTGCATGTTTACGCATGTGCTTAATTAAAATGCTTCCGCAGACTGTCTCCCACTTCGACACTTCCGCCACTACTGCGTATCATATTACCCAACGCTTAACTCGCTTTCATTTTGCACTGTTGTTGACCTCGGCCTCGCGCAAAGTAAACTAGCAGCGCACCATTTTTGAGGCTAGGAATGAAACGTGGTTCTGAGATAAGCGTGACGTTTGTTCTAGACAAGGGTACTGTACCTTTTCCCTACAAACAGTACAAAATTACTACTTAGGAGTACTGTTAGTACTATTTAAAAAGATTGCCTATGTCCCTAAATATTTGACCTTTTCGCGAGAAACAACTTTGACTAAATATATATTAAAAGATATTAATATTTATGGTACATAATTAATATCATTGGAAAGATCTTTAAATTTAATTTTTAATAAATTTATTTGGAGATACAAAACGTTGCTAGCATTTTCTACAAATCAAGTCAAACTTGTGGCACACACACCAACGGCGACACTTATTTAGAGATGGAGGAAGTAGTAGGCCCCGTTTGGTAGGGCTTCTCCATGGCTTCAGGAGCCGTTTGGAGCCGTCTTATGCCAAACGGAGGTAAAACAAAATGGCTTCATCCAGGAAGCCCTTTAAATCGTGCTTTCACAGATCTTTGAGGTAGGATGGAACCAAAATTAGTGGCTTCACCTTATCCTACCTGGCGTTCTGAGAGCATGTTTTAATAAACTCTATATGTGGAGCTGTTTTGCCAAATTATTTACCAAAACAGCTCCAGCTCCACCGATAAAAGCTGTTCATAGAGCTAAGCCCCAAAAAAAAAAAAAACTTCACTAATGAATTGGAGCCTTGCCAAACATGGCTGTGGTATAAGCACTATCAAAGTATGTGACAGTCTGATAGATTACTCCAGTTTTCAGTGTTTACTCTAGTTAAACCATGGAAGCTTAATTTATTCGTTCGCGCAAAGAAAAATTTACTGCAATTAGTAATTGTTTAGATTGCTTATTAATCCTATCCAGGTTGTCAGCCCATTTGATCTGGCCACGTTCAGCGGCGAAATCAACGACTGTGCCTTACCGGGCCGGGTCAGGCCAGGTATGCGTGGATCCGTCGAGATACATGCATCCGCAACCGACGAGCGACGACCGCATCTCACATCCACAGCGACGCAGCCGCCCCGGTCAGTCTTCCCACACTTCTCTTCTTCCACATACACACTCTCCTACCAATCTTACCATACCACACTCGTGCTACCAGTCATCGTTCTCGTTCCACCACCGCTCCGCTCAGCTCAGAAGCGAAGGCAAGTTGCGCTGCCCGGCTTCCCCTTCGCATCCTCCGTTGCCGCCCTCCCTCCCTTCCCGTGTCTTCGCCTCCACGTTGACCACGACTTTTTCGTCGCAGTTGCAGCCCTTGCCTGCCTCCTCCACTCCACCACCCACCCGCGTGAGACTCAACCCAACCCGTCCCTAGCCGCCACTCCACCGGCTTCCCACCCACTGCCGCCTCGCCCCCACCGGCCCCGGCGCCCCACCTGTCACCGTGCCGCGTGCGTGGCCACGCCGCGACGACCACCTCACTTCCCCCACCTACGACGCAACTTCCCACGCTCCATCACACCCGCCACCGCTTTAAAACCTCCTCCTCACACCCTCACTCCCCTCACTCAAACACCACGCCACACCACACCACAGCGAGAGCAAGGCGCCCAAGCAACCACCACTCCACAGCCAGAGCAAGCCACCGCGAGAACAAGTCGCAGCCAAGAACTCGTCTCCACGTCTCCCAGCGAAGCCTAAGCTTGAGCTTGCCGTAGGTGCCATGTCTTCCATGGAGCTGCTCCACACCGTCATCCCGGAGAAGCAGAGCGAGGAGGAGGCGGTCGCGCTGATGGCGCCCGCGGCGGCAGCGGCGACGACCACGACCACGAGCAGCAGCGCCACCGCCATGAGCGGCGACGAGGTTGCCCACGTGCCCCAGGGGTGGGCCAAGAAGAAGCGCTCACGGCGCCAGCGCTCGGAGGAGGAGAACCTCGCGCTCTGCCTCCTCATGCTCTCCCGCGGTGGCAACCACCGCGTCCAGGCGGCGCCGCCGCTGGTCCCGTCCGCGGCGCCGGCCGCCGCGGAGTTCAAGTGCTCCGTCTGCGGCAAGTCCTTCAGCTCCTACCAGGCGCTGGGCGGCCACAAGACCAGCCACCGGGTCAAGCTGCCGACACCTCCTCCTCCTGCTGCTCTCCCGGCAGCAGTGCCCCTCGTGGAGGTGGAGGCCCCCGCACCGCTCACCGTCATCCCGCCGCCGCCAGTCGAGGTCGTCGTCCGTGAGCCGGCCACGTCATCCACCGCCGCGTCCTCCGACGGGGCGGCGGCGTCGAGCAGAGTCCACAGGTGCTCCATCTGCCACAAGGAGTTCCCCACCGGCCAGGCGCTCGGCGGGCACAAGAGGAAGCACTACGACGGAGGCGTCGGCGGCAGCAGCGCCGCGTCCACAGACGTCCTGCCCACTGCCGCGGCGGCCGCCGCTGAGACGTCCGAGGTGGGGAGCTCCGGGAACGGGAGCTCCGCCGCCCGCGCGTTCGACCTCAACCTCCCGGCCGTGCCGGAGTTCGTGTTCCGGTGCGGCAAGGGCGGCAAGATGTGGGAGGAGGACGAGGAGGTGCAGAGCCCGCTCGCCTTCAAGAAGCCCCGCCTCCTCATGACCGCGTGAGCCGCTGCGCGGGTCTCATCCGTCCAAGATTTTGGTCTAGAGCTGAGCTGCTGCCAAGTTCAGTGGTGGAAACACACTATTCGTTCATTCATTCGTATGGTGCCAGTACCATTGTTTGATTTGTTGCTGCTCTTCTTGTACAGTATATAGTCATCATACACATACTACACATAGGTCGATCTTCCTATTCCTGGGAGAGTATACTTGTATCCTTAGCTGTCAGTATACTGTAGTTCATACATACTTCATTCTCATTAAGAGATGATTTGATGATGATGTAGTGCTTTGTAACATATGCTTATTATAAATGGACTGGGGATTAATATGGAATCAGATACCCTCTCGTACGCAGCACTTTGTGTTCATGCCTATGCCTCGTTAGTAGCTTGGTCGATCGATGCTCTTTCGCTTGCCAGCTCAACCATCGCCTTTGCTTGCTTTCATGGGAAGAAACGGAGCAGTCTTCTTCGCCTCTCAGAAGCAACGTCCTCTTACCTTTTTCTTCGCAGATTTTTCGGTCGCTAGCTTGGCCACGCACTCATCGTCCTCGCGTACTCAGTGGCGTCCATCCCGGCCTGGCTGGCGATATAACTTAATCCGGTTCCATCCACGAGCTTCCACCACTTGCTCTGCTGTTTGCGGAGCAGTGACGCCCTGCCCCTGCGGCCGCCGCAAGTGGGAACAACAAACCTGGGGCCGTTGCGGCTTCGGGAACGCCGACGGACGGCGCCCACTAGCGGGTGGAACGGTCGCCGACAGCGACGTCGCCCCGCCCGCCGGTGTCGATAAGTGCGTGCCGACTCGCGCTCAGATCGCTTTCGACGCAACGCAACAGTTCCCAGCGGCCGGCCGGGGGCGGGGGCCGCCCGCATTTGGTGGAATGGAAGCGATGCGCGGAAAATCTAGGCGCGTCTCGCCCCGCCCTGTGCCGTGAGTACGTACGTACGTGCCATGATGCTTCCCGCCCACTCCCAAGCCGAACCGACCCGCGGCGCTGGCTGCGTCCTGAGTGACGCGCACGACGTGGTGGTGGTGGTGGTGCCGACGTGCGCCGGTGCGTGCGCGTCCCCGCGGCTCGGTCGCGTATGGTATGGGCGGGCGTTGAAGAAGCGTGCCCTGGCGTCGACGACGGGCCGGGCGGGCGTTCGGCATGCTTCACGTGGCGTCCTGCGGAGCGATTTCGCTGAACATGTCGTGGGCGACCCGCCACCGGTCCCGCGACGGTGGTGCTGCACACGTCTTTGGAGAGTTGGGCAGCCAGCTCGGTGCGTTTCTGGATGCAGGATATGTTCGCACCAGTTTCGTCCCGGGCTTGCCTTGTGTCATCTTTCGTTCTTTGTTTTGTTTTGGGTCCACGCCACGGTGACGTACGCCATGTTTCATTGCAGATTAGGGTCTCCTTCGCTTCGCTGAAAAAACAAACCGAAATATTGTTTCTGGCTGATTTTTTTGAGAGAAAAGCACTGTCCGGCTAAAATAATAAGCTAAAAAATACGGATTATAAAAGAAGCGAAGAAGACCTCAGGTAAGTTCACTATACGATGGGATGGGTTCATACCATTTGGAGCACGAGTGGTGTCTCCTCCTAATAAAGTCAGCAGAAGCCGGTCAAACATGGCAAGTCCAAAAACAGGAGAATTCCGATCCACCTTCCAACTGATGATGATCTCACGAGTCATGAGTCACGAGCTTTACGAGTCGTGGAATGGCTCAGCTGCATGTGCTGGGCTAAACAAGGACCAATCTTAGCTTGCGATCAGGTCAATAGGCCAGGAATATCTGACGGGCCAGCCTGATTCCGATGCACAATTGTCGATTCAGCGGCCCGTCTAACTCCAAGGCCTTTCCCTCTCGCTGACGACCTGGGCTCCATTATCTCTTCTCAATGCTCCCGAGCCTCTCTTTCCGCTGTATGGGCTTTTTGCCCTTTTCCAGTGAATTTCCAGGCGCGCCCGTCTTACTCCAAGGCGTTTCCCGTGCGCTGACGACCTGGGCTCCATTATCTCTTCTCACTGCTCCCCTCTTTCCGTGGTATGGGCTTTTTGCCCTTTTCCAGTCAATTTCCAGGCTCTTGGATTCATACGTTCCTTCTATTGCTTAGACTGATATGGACTTTGGACCTGTTCATTTATTTGGTGGGTGTTGGGTTTTGGTTAGAATTTTTTGGTGGTCTTGATTTTTTGTGAGAGAAAAACAACTTGTTGGTGTTGGTTGGTTTGGGATTGAAACTAAATGTTAATGCGAGCAGTTTGTTTTTTACTGCCAAAGACTGAGAAGTGAATGGATAGTATTTTTATGGTGGTTGATTATTTTTATAAGATGGCATATTTTATTCTTTATCATAAAAGCGACGGTTCATATTGCTGGCATGTTCTTTTAAGAAATCGTTCTATTAAGAAATCGTTCGCTTGCATGGTATACCTTCTACCATTGTTTCAGACCGCGATACAAAATTCTTGAGTCACTTGTAGCACACTTTTGTGGAATAAATTGGGAGCAAAGCTATTGTGTTCTACAAATTGTCATCCCCAACTGAGAGAGTGAATCGAACATTGTCCATCATATTGAGAGCAATCTTGAAGCGTCATTTGAAGATGTGGGAAGAGTGTTTGCCCCATGCGAACTTTTCATATAGGTCATGTTCGCTTCTCTTATAATCCGTCTTTTTCAGCTTGTTTTTTCAGCTGGAACAGTGTTTTTCTCTCACAACAAATCAGCTGGAACAGTGCTTCGGTTTGTTTTTTCAGCGAAGCGAACGGGGCCATAACAGGGCGGAACACTCCACTACCAAGGTATTTAACCACCGTGCTCCTATTGATCTTTTGCTTTTACCTACCACTGAGAGAACATATCATGATGCTAAAGAGCATGCTGAGTTTATTCTTAAACTAGGTAAATTCTCCGTGCGTTGCAGCGGGAATTTGAGAAGTATTTTTTTTTATGAATGTTTGATGAAAGAAGCAAAAGAATTATGGAATTGAATATAGCCAATGCTGGTAAATTTCATTTTGACGATAATATGTAAGAGCTAGGGAAGCGGATGGGGGCTGGCGATGCGCCCCGGTCGTATGCGGAACGGCTTCTGCTGGTCCGCCGATCGGCTCGGGGCGTGGACCGTTGTCGGCCGCGCCGGCGGAAATTTTGCCGACCAACCCGATGGTGGCTTCTTCAACCAACTGCGTTCGGCTGGTACACTTCCAGCTTATTTCAGCTTATTCTCTTTCACAAAATACTATTTAATCATCCAAAACAATCAAAAATTAATGTACACTACACCAGCCGAACACAGCCGGCCCATGTGATCTTTACTGTGAACGTTATTAAAAAAGTACGCATGTGAACGTAACCATCCAAATGGACCTCACAGTGACTGAACATAAAAGGCGTTACTGTTATCAGAAATGGATTCTTGTAGCGACTTAATAATGCCGTACAGGTTCTGAGGCAGCATGTGATCTTTACGGGATCTTCTCGGACGTTGTTGAGACAGAAGATCCGAAGATGCCACATGTCCCTATGCTGCAAATACTGTTGCAGAAAGATCGTATGGTCAGTAGAGAGTTCGTTGGATCTATTGTGCTCTCTATGGTTCAAACTTGAAATCAGGACCCACAAATATCGGTTGGTGGAAGAGGTCTCCACGTACAGACCGGTTTTTTTTTTTTTTTGAAAATTTACAGACCGGTTGATACAGGCCACTGGGTTGATAACAGCGGCGCACCGGAGTGAGGAGGCCGGAGGCAGGGGAGCGCACAGGCACAGCGCAGGACTCGGGACCAGCGGCTAGTGATTGGAACGAAGAACAGTGTCCAACCGCTCATAGTCATAGCCACAGAAGCGGCGACCGGGACAAGTGGCGCCTATATGGGCGTGTGGCAGAGGAAACGAGGACGAAGAAAGCGCTCACATCGTCCTTGTCCTTGTTGCGACTGCGAGTCATCTGATGTTTAGAGTGCCAAACCTCAATTTGCACATCTCGATTTCAAAGAAAAAAAAGCCTGACCTGCGAGGCTATGGACACGTTAGATCGGCCTCACATACAGTAGGAGAACTCGTATCCACGGACCACGGTTTTCATAAACGGCACACGGTCAAGATTCTCTCTGAATTAGCTCTGCATGTGAGGTCATCACAAGTTACATCACGGCACATGAACTGGGCTGTGCAGCCCTAGCTTTTCAGAAGACCAGTCCTCCTTGACCTCGAACTAAGCTCGCCATCTGTCACTGGCTGAGGACAAACAAACAGAGGCCACGACCAGAGTACTAGGCGTAGGACTATGTTCCGTTCGGCAGATATTAAAGGCGGCGGAAGCTGTGTTTTAATGTGATAGAAAAATATCGTAAATTATAAGTTTAAATGAATAGGCCTAGGGAGACCGATCAACCATTTCCATTTCCGCAAACAGCTTCGTTTCAGACAGAGGCGCCATGCATGCATGATTGATCGAGTACTAACGGTGATCTTAATCTATCGCTAGGGGGTGCGATTAGATTAGGTCAAAACGCGGGGTTTAATTAAACACGTACGGCGTCGTCGCGTCCGCATGATATGGCGCCGTGACGCCGGTGACATTAATTTCAGGGACGGCCCTTGTCGGCACATCACGTCCGACGGCTACAGTGCCGTGACGGCCTTTAACGTGCAGGGTGCACGTCGCGATGTGATGGCGCGCGCCCGCGGTATTCGTTTGGCCGTTGTTTCGTGAAGAAGTGCTGCTGGATGGTCGTGCGAGAGAAAAATACTGTTTTGACTGAAAATTTACGATCATTTACGATAAGCCACAACCAAACAAACAGGCTGCATATCAGCCAGTACAGCCGCCCATGATTCCAGAGGGAGGGAGCTCAGGATGCGCGCCTAAAGATGGCAACGGGCCCCGATACTCGATATCCGACGAGTATTTGATCCATTAGGGGACGGGGATGGGATAATATCTTTACCCGCGGGCATCTAAATGGGCAAGAATCCATCACCGACAGGTATAGCGGGTACGGGAA